CTGAGCAATGTAGTTGACTCTAGCCAGGGGGGAAGTGAGCGTGACAGGTATAGCCTAGGCGCGGATGATGTGATTCGGTACAACGATGGTAAGGGAAGAAAACTGCCTGCATTCCAGTCGCCATGGTTGCTGACATCATTGCGTTGGTACACACGCTACATGGTCATGCAGGAGTAGGAGCAACGCTGTCCCTTCTGCGCGATCATTTCCACTGGCCCGCGATGAGGAACGACACTCGACACTATGTGTTGTCACGCGCCTGTCGTAGACGCAAGAGACCGCCCAGCAGACAAGTAGCCATGATGGCAGGTAGACCGCTTGAGCCGTGGGACGAGTTGCATATGGACATCCTCAAGATCGACACACCATCGCAAACTAGCAACAACCACATCTTGCTCGTGGTAGACCGCGCCTCAAAGTTTCCCTTCGGGTTCCCGCTCGAAACCAATCAAGCTGTAGGCGTAGCCCGAGTGGTGGTAGAGCTGTGTCTAACTTACGGAGTTCCAAAGACGGTGCGCTGCGACGAAGGCCCAGAGTTTGGTGCAAGACTGGTGAAGCACTTGTGCAGATGGTTGCGGGCAAACATCGTGTTTGGTGCTGCTGATCACCCTCGAGGCCAAGGATCGGTAGAGAGACTGGGGGGATGGCTACAGGAGTTGTTGGCTGAGCTGTGTAGGCCCTGGCCTGACCGATGGGATGAGTATGTTTCGCCTGCGATGTGGATCAAACGCACCTTGCCAGACACCTCGCTCCCAACTTATATGACACCTTTCGAGTTCCTGTTTGGCCGCAAGCCTCGCACGTCGCTGGATTCGTTAGTTCCTCTTACGGACGAGATGGATCAGGAACGAGGAGTCGACAACTTCGTGGAGAGGCGCAAGCACAATCTCCGTGAAGTAGGACTCGTNATGTTTCGCCTGCGATGTGGATCAAACGCACCTTGCCAGACACCTCGCTCCCAACTTATATGACACCTTTCGAGTTCCTGTTTGGCCGCAAGCCTCGCACGTCGCTGGATTCGTTAGTTCCTCTTACGGACGAGATGGATCAGGAACGAGGAGTCGACAACTTCGTGGAGAGGCGCAAGCACAATCTCCGTGAAGTAGGACTCGTCCTCGAGAAACGGCAGGAGCTTCGAGTTGCTGCACGCGCGAAAGCCAACGCCTCTATCGAGAGGTCGTGAGCTGGAGTGGGGGTCGTGAAGGACAGCCTGGTGCTCGTGCGCGAGTCCGAGAGTAGTCGACATCGTGACCACAAGGGCAGAAGGCTGCAACACGATCTCTACACAGGACCGTCGAAAGGGACGGGGGCGATCCAGCCCGGTCTCAGTGTAGAAGTCATGATGCATGGTAGAAAGAAGCGTAGCCGAAGGGTATCTACGGTCGACGTGAAACCTTTCCACCTCCGAGAACTTCCTTTNCTGGTGCTCGTGCGCGAGTCCGAGAGTAGTCGACATCGTGACCACAAGGGCAGAAGGCTGCAACACGATCTCTACACAGGACCGTCGAAAGGGACGGGGGCGATCCAGCCCGGTCTCAGTGTAGAAGTCATGATGCATGGTAGAAAGAAGCGTAGCCGAAGGGTATCTACGGTCGACGTGAAACCTTTCCACCTCCGAGAACTTCCTTTGTTGCGCTCTGGCACTTGTATTTTCCCCAGCTGGCAAACGCTTCTGCACCCGACTCAGTCAAGCTCCGTACACCGTTGTCCCGCGCCCAAGCCTTGCACGTTTTCCCGATAGGTCTTACCTTCCAGAAGGAGATGCCAGAGGAATCCTACTTCAGGGTCAGGTGTATGACTACCTTTCCCACTACTGGCGCGTGCGCTACACTGACGGGAACTGGGAGGAGTTGTCCAGAAGCGAACTGGAAAGGCCTTCGAGATAGCCTTGGGGGGAGGGATTTCGAGCTAGTGTGATTGCTGGACGATGGGGATGCGTGGGGTTAGTGAGACCGTCTGCGGGTGATCATGGATGTCCGTACAAGATTCGGTCGTATGTATGTACCATGGATAGTTTTTGACTATTGTTGATAAAGAGTCTCTTTTGTTCAGGTTTTTAGAATATGCATGTCCACTTGATTTTTGAGTATTGTTGATAAGAAGAGTCTTTTGTTTCGGTTTTTCTGCATGTCAATTTGATTTTTGAGTAAGCCACCCAGTTGAGGTTCGGTAAGGCTTAACTGCTCGGAGACCGTACTAGCCAGATGTCCTGATCTGATTCGCAGTCGAAGGGTGGGTCCTGCGTCCGGTAGCACCCACGAGGGTTTGTTTTGTGTGCTAGTCTGGTTTGCAGTCGAATGGTGGTCCTGTGCCCGGTAGCGCCCAAGAGGGTTTGTGCTGCTGTGCCGTGGCATTTGATTGGGTTTGGTGTTGTAGGTGCTTTGCGCAATGGGCTTTTTCCTGGTGGCCAGGTTTTTCCCGCGCTGTAGGTGTTGAGAGCCGGACTGCAACTACAGTGAATGCACCAAGCGAGGGATGGTTTTTTGTTATTTTTACGTCCGAGCGTCACTTGGTGTTTTCGGTTGTTAAGTCTAAATTCTAGGGCTCTCGGGATGGGGAGCGAAGGGTTTGTCCCGGAGGCCGGGTTTTCCTTCGCGCAAGTCGATGTCGGGCCGTGGTTCAACGCGCAGTGAGAATTATGAAGAGGAGTGGATTTTATTTGGGTTTTGCCACTATTCACCTCTCGTAATTTTCGGTTGAACGTTCAGCCTACTCAAAGACATTGCATGGTGTTATTCCAAAAGGAAGCGTGTCACTTTGCGGTTTACACATTTCCTGCTACCGTTTATTAGCATGTGACAGCTGACAAATAGCTGTTCATGCTAATGGGGGGATGTTACGGTTACATTGTTACGGTTGATAGGAGTTGCACCTTTGGGAGGATGCGTTGTTCCCAACAGGTACTAGCAGTAAGGTCCGGTTTGCCGGGCCCCGTCTAGAGGCTAGGTTGCTCGGTCCCCTTACCTTCACTTGACTTGACTGCTTTACTACTTCTCCTTGCTTGCCCTAAGTTAGCAATAAGCAACAAGCGAATTCCGTATCCACGACCGGAGACCTTCCACTTCTTGTCACAAGCCACCTTCGAGGCTCACTTTTACCGCTGTTCCGGCTCATCTACCGAACTCGGTACCGATCGCGAGGCAGCTACCATCAGGTCGGTAGCAGTGCTTGTGGGCTGGGGTCCCATGTACAATCCTCTGTGGACAATTCCTCTTGACACCCAGGGTCCTGTCACTTGAATGATTAGAGACCACACAGACCCACATAGACATCGGGCCAGCCCCTATCCCTCTCCATCCGTTTCATACCTCTTTGGACTGTTGGACCTTCGTGGCTGATCACATGATTACGCCGCTTGTTCGATGTTCGATGTTCGAGTCCAACAAAATTACGTAGGACCTACCCTGACGATCTTGTGATTCTTCCGGTCTTCATCTTGGACCCCCCAGCACCCGCATCAGTGCCAGCGCCAGCACGGCGCACCGGAGAGGAGGACGAGACTAGGTCGCAGGCTGCGTTGAGCGTGGTATCGGGCGCCAAATGGGCGAGGACAGCGGAGCCAGAGCCGGACCTCGCCTCTCTCCTTCAGGCGATGGGAAGAAGGACAGCAGCAGCCGGAGGCGGCAAGCAACAAGGCGCCAGCAAAGAAGAAATTGCTGACCAGTGTCTCCATTGGCACTCAGGTGAGAGATTGAGAAGCATTCGTTTGGGGCCCGTCCTTTTTCCTAGATTTCTCCTGTCCGCCTGTACAGCAGTAGTCCCACAGCACGCGTCTGTTGAAGGGTGCCGTACGAGCACACGGGGTGCGGGTGTCGCTCGCCCCGACACCGAACACGCAAATCTCGTGGGCCAGCACATTTCCCCCGTCTTCCGAAACACGATCACATTTCGGACCACTTTTAAGAAGCCAGAATATCGGATGGATGGCCCGACCACGGATTGAGGTATGGATGGGCGTGCTTTGGACATTGTTTGATATTCGAGGGATACGTCACAACCTCCGAATCACACCAGTAGGGCGGCTTCTTGTTGTTGTTTCGCGGTTACTAGGATGGTGGCTCGAGGGGACCGTCACCGTTACAATGGTCACAGGGCATACGTCACAGCCTCCGAAATCACACGACGGCACGTTCGTGTCACAGGGTGACCATGGTGGCGTGTATCGCCGAGGCCGTTGCCGTATGAGGGTTTTCACTGGTCATTAATTGATTTCGATCGATGTAGGGTAGTGCCACCAGGAAATTTCCCTGTCACGAGACCATGTCGCCGCATCACATCGGCATGTTACGGATATTGGTCATCCGCCGTCACGCGGTCCATCTCACACATGGTCCCTTACTCCCCCCCCCCCCCCCCCCCCCCCCCCCCCCCCCCCCCCCCCCCCCCCCC